CGGGAGGCAAAACTGCCGGGCTGATCGATTGTCCCCAGAGCGCCACAAACTTTCTGCGGGCCACAACCGGGCTGGGGGATACCAGATGCTTGCTCGTGGACCAACGCCGCCCGCGAATAAACACGTCAAGAGCCAAAACTGGGTGGGGAGCAGGCCGTATGCATACGCATATCCAAAAAATAGCTGGAACGGGAACGAAGGTGGGAAGATAGTCCACTACCCCATCGCCCGTGCAGTGACAGACCGCCAAACACAGAGACGTGCGGACCGCGCCCCCAGACAAGCCGTGCACACCGGCGACCCACCTGCGGCCGGTGGGCGGTGGTCCCCGAGCCAATCAACTCCTTCAACCAGCTGGGGCGCAGTGTTGCAGACTGAAGAGGTGCCCGGCGTCGCCTGTGGCTGAGTGCTGATGGCCTGGAAGCCGCTGTTGGGTACCTCGCGGGTTGCTCGAGCATTATCTAATGAAATGAGTTCGTCGCTTTTTCTCTTTTCGCGTCGTAATAGAAACGAGAGTGCATGGAGCCCAGCGAGGGTGGCGTCACCCTCCCACAATCAGCAATGTGCTCCGCCCAACGGATGCGGGGTGCCTTGGTAGGTCTTGTCAGCCATTTCAACAACGAAATCAAGGCTGCGCATCAACATAGCTTGACCAGGCCAGGCCAGGCCATCTGCTAGGGGTGGCCATCTTCGGGAGGCGGGCCATATAATGTACATCACATTTAAGAGCAGCATTCCCAGCAACAAGAGCTTTTCTGCCCCAACCAAACCGGCTTCTCCATTGGGGTCAGGTGGTTTTGCGTCAGGGCCAGGAGAAATGATTTGTGAAGCCACGCAATGCTTGACATCTCAGAGATTGCCGTTCTCGTCATTCTTACAGGGGGTTTGCGTAATATAGCTTGCATCGGAAAACCATTGTGTGGTGTCAAACATGTAGCATTTGGTGACATGAATGTGATTCTGTGGGTGTGCTACGTGCGGCCATAGAACTTCAGCACCTAAGTCCAATTTGGGTAGAATTGATGCAACGGTGTTTGCAACGTGTCATTGACACAACGCCAAATAATTCTGCAGCAAGTCCAGCGCTGGTCATTGAAGCAACGCTGGCACACTCATCAACATTTCTCAATACAATATATGATATATCCAAACAATATTGACGTGCGTTCATCCATACCGTCGTCCTCCGATGACACAGCCATGGCAGCGTGATCATCGAAGATTCGACAGGGAATGTGCAGATTCGCGCATATCTCATCAAAAACTAACGTATTCTGAAGGCTATGATTGACAAAAATCTCCACTATTCCTAAACTACTTTCTTGACTGTTCCTTCTCAACTATACAGGTCCCATCAGCTCAAAATGGTCCAAAACACCATCTCGACTGAAATTGGGGGCCCCACATGCCAGATAGCTCAAAATAGCCTAGCATACAAGGCGACACGACAGCGCCCGATCCTACCCCGGTATGCGCACGTATTGCAAATCCCCCGGGGCATTCTTCTGAGTCAGCGCTCATTGGTATAGGCGCCCTCCATCATCTCACTCCCTGCACTCGTACCCCCTTGCACCCCCTCCAGCCTGCGTCCGGGCCGGCGCATTCCCTTGACGTGGGATCGACGAGCGAACCCCGATGGGAGGGTCGGGGGCAAGGCCCCCCTCCATGGAACTGCCCATTCACTTTTCCCGGTGAAACCCTCCCCGTTTCAGAAACGCGTTCAACCCTCCCCGTCCACGGCCCACGCAGCCATATCCGGGGAGCGCTCTCCCTCGAGCACCCTCCCATAAACGTGCTGTTCGTTCAGAGTAAGAACTCTGCCCCTCGCCTCCTAATCCCCCCCGCTGATCTCGAACAATCTCCTTGAGATTGTCTTCGCCGGCGTCTGGCTGCGCCCCCCTCCGCAAAGCCCCTTGGCTTGCCATGGGCCTGTCTGCCCGAACGACGGGCATTTGCTCCGGTTTCTTGAGACAGGGCCCATCGGCAGGTCCCCCTGGTCCATTCGGGTCGGTCGCTATGTGCGGCGTTTCGGCCGTTCAGTGGCATGCGTGTAGCTGGCATCGCCTGCAGGTCTCACAGGCCATGGTGCTTCCTGGGTGCTTCCCGTGTCGCGGGTGAATAGCCATGCGGGATTACATTGTAGCTGTCCCCTGTCCCCTTGCTGGCGTACATTCGGGCCCTGGCTGCCCCTGTGAATTCCCTGTGGCCTCTTGACGAGTGTCACGAGGGCTATTCCTCCGGTATGTCTGCAAACCATCGACCGAGGCCATTCCGGGCTGGAATTCTGGGGCACCTGCTTGGCAATATTTGTTGTGACTCATGTACATGCCACGTGTGGCATGGCAGCCACCTCTTCTCTTAGACTGGTTCCATCCATTCTTGCCCCGAATGCTATGCGAAAGGCAAACGCGGAAAGCAGCACCAATTTAAAAGCCGATTGAAATTGACAATGTGCGCATTTCACAAAGCATTATGCTAGCCTACCAACAATTGCCACGGCTTCATGTCGGAAGCGTCCAACAATGGTAGCATTGCCACATTGCAGTCGGCCATCTGGAGCAGCAGGTTTTTGGTTCTCAAAAATCCAGGATTACCTGATTCTGGGCCCAACACATACAGCTATCGCCCAGAAGGCTGCAGGAAGAGGTCAACACGGCCCTTCCAGCTGGCAGAGGGGACTACATACAGGTATGCGCTTCATACATAGTACATGAAGTAATATGTAGACATTTGGATGGATTCCTAAAAGAATTTCGGGTGCATACATAGTACTGTACTATATAATACACAACTGGTACGTTGGCAGTCAACGATATCCAGGGCGTGGCTCCCAGCGCCAGGGATGCAAATCAGCCCCACCCACTTTGCACACCGTTGGAAACAGGTTAAACAGCCGCGGCAATCAATCCCCGGAAAGCAATGGACGGTTGAGGCAGCCTGCTGCAAACGTCCGTTGTTCTGAGAAGACCATGAGAGTCTTCTCAAAAAATTGCCGCTTCAGTGCGCCCTCCCTTTCATGCGCCATTGCCGTTGCCATGCGCCATTGTTACAATGACAAGGATGGTCGTCGCCCCAGCACGGTGTGGCTGTCGCCATCTGACGGAGCGATCAGAGCGATCTAGCAGCACGATTTGCGAAAGGGTTTTTTCCACTCGTTTGCAGTGGCTGCTGGCCAAGCGGAAGACACCAGTAAGAACGTTTTTGGGAAAGGAGTTGGTGTACGCATACACTCGCGTGCACCACTGGGTGGAAAGCAGGCAGAAACGGGGACGCGCGTTGGTCCCTGCAGCCCAACAATCCTTTCCAGCTGCAGTGGAACAACCGAACCCAGTTAACATGCTCCCAGGCCGTCTCCCATGGCTGCGGCAGCTCCGCAGCCCCTAAACGCTTCGTTGGCCTTATCGCGGGTTTCTTGCAGCTCACGGCAGCCAGAGATCCCTAGATGCCCCCTTAGCACGGCAGTGAGTCCAAAATATGCAGCCACCTACTAAATTCCTTGTAACAAAGGTATTTATGCTAATTCCAGACAGTTTAATACTGTCTTCGGAAGGCAAAGTGGAGGCCTGCGGCTGTGGGTCACCATCGGGACGCTCAGGGTTAGCTATCCATGCGCTGGCCACTGGAAATCCGGCTGGGCCCTGGCGGGTTCCCTTGTAGTATGGCCCCGTCCCCTTGCAGAGGCTGCGATAGGTGCGCAGGATGTGTATTTGTTGGCAGTTAAGCTACGATCTTGGGCGCCCAATTAATGGGCGCCTGCTGGTAGAAACAGACCAGGCAGTGTTTGAGTACCTCCGCCAGCCACAATTTGTCTGGATGGAGAATCTATTGGGGTTCGATGGACCATTTAGGAATGATGAAGCACGCTGCTTTTGCCATGACGTCGTGTTAACCGAAGTGGGTTGAAAGGGCTCGGCCATTCACAACTACTGGCAATTGGCGCCAGTGCGTTCAGACGTACTGGTACGCACCAACACTATAGCAATCCCTTTCGGGCAAAGAGGACACATTATTTCAGGTGTAAGTTGAGCTGCAGCTGCTGCAATTCATCCTAAGTAGCTAGTGTTAGCGACCAGTGCTTCACTGGAAACGCCGTTGCCTGAAACGGTGTGCCTTGGCACCATTGCAGGTTGTCGTCGTCGGGCTTGTCAAATTAGAGATACGCCGAAACGTGCACAGCTCATTCTTGAATTGAAACGCGTCACATTGGACCTCAGAATACACCTAGAATTTACATTCCGCACCTAACTGAAAGGCGGCCATCTTAATGCGACTGTTGACCTTATTAGGATCAGCCGGACTTTTTAACAGGCACTCCTTCCTCAAGCAATCAAATTGCGGTCTCTGCCACCTATTCCACCCGCCCCTTCGCGCCTTCAATTATCCGCGGTCCCGCTCACATTCGCCCATCTTTCACAAGAGTGATTAAAACTCAATTAGCAAGACCGTGATTCCCAATAAAATAATTTGTCATTTGCCGAGCCACACCCACGTCCAACCGACTCGGGGGCAATGCGCCCAAAACACCACGCTTATCTGCCCATGCTTGAATCTTGGCGCCACTCCCCAAATGGAAAATGCGTGAATTATGCGCACGCAACAAAATCTAGTGACGGTGACTGAGCCTCCAAGCCGCACGTGCAGATGCTGATTCCCCTGCTCTACTGCACTCGGCGCCCCTTGCAGACAGGGGCCACGCCGCTAGCAAACCGCCAATGCAGCGCTTTAGTAACAAAATAATCGAAGCACTCCTTCCGTCCAGAGGGCGCCACAGCCGCCCTCCTGCAGGCGCGCTGCTCGGCGGGCTCTCTGGGAAAAGAGGCCCCGCAATTCGGTCAGTACGTCGTTTTATTCTCACGCTGGCGGTGGCCCGGGGAGTGTCGGCGAGGGGCAGCCATCCCGTCAGCCTGGACGAATGACGACCGACGGTGTGCCAAAACCCAGTGACGACAAGACAAGCGGGACATTCCAAACGGCGCTCAATGGAGCGAGGGGGCGTTTGGTCAGACGGCGGCGTAGATGACGTTGATGAAAACGAGCAAGAAGAGAAGGGTGTAGAAGGCGAGGGGGACGCGATGGCTGTCGCGTTTGAACTCGATGAGGTTCCTGATTTCGTCTTCGTCGTACTCCTCTTCTCCGAACAGCTCCACCTGCCAAAGCGCAAACGAGCACTGCTCGTCACTGACCCCAAAAGAGCCTCAAAAACAAAAAGAAACGCAAAAAAAAACCCAAAACCCCGCAAGCTTGCTGTTGGAAGGTCTGGGCACGCTTGGAACAGATGTTGCGACAGCCGTTCATGCGTTTCAAGGTTCGCGAGCTTCACAACTTTGAATCCTGCTGGCGCTAAGAGAAAAGGGGCCAGGTAACAGATGTTCAAACGTGTACAGAGTTTACGGGTTTGGATTATTTCCGTGTTCTTAGCATGCAGAGCACTGACGAAATGCATACATATGTGTTTGCAAAGAGTGCTATTTGGTCCTTTCTCTGCTAGTGTGAGATTACGCGGCTTTCGGCCTTTTGAAACGATTTTAACACGGACCAGAACAGGGCAGGGGTGGCATTTTTCGCCAGTGAGACACGCAGGGGGCAAGGTGCCTGACCAGCGCACCTTCTTTACAGCAAAAGATTCCCCGCTGCATCGTACAGGTAATTGCGAAAGGCCTGGCGGGGCGGCGTCCAGCGCCTCGGGGACATGGCCAATACTGGCCAGTGGTTCCTCAGGGACCGACGCAAGTTCTTATTCACCTTCGCCATATACAATGCGACGCTGTACTCGACGTGGGGCCATACCTGCTGGGATGCAGTTTTGGTCCTCCCCTGTTCCGCGTTTTGGGTTTTCGAAAGTATATGTACACTGGACATTATTAGGCGCTGTTGTAAGTAGAACTGACCGAGTATCATTGGAAGCTGGATGCCTAAAGAGGTGACGAGGCATTAAGAATCGCATCAAGGACATTGACGAAGGGGCTGGACATAGGGGACAGAATTCCTGTTGTCCCTTGGCGCAGCGGTGAACCGCTGCCACGTACTCGAGCCTATGCGCCCCAGTCAGGGGGCGCCACCCCTCGACCCTGCGTGCCTTCGTCAGCGCTTTGTGCACTAACGTATCTCAGCAATTCGACTTGCATCCACGTGGCTAGAAACGGCGCCTGGATGGAGACACACTCCTCCCCACCTGGCCTGAGTTTGTGCAAAGGGGCTCGATGAAGCCAATGAGGTGGTACAGCAGCTGTATAACCACCACCTTGAACATGAGCTGCGCCACAAAGCCAGTGCCCAGCAGCACGCCAAACAAGTCGATGTCGGTGCCCTGCCCGCCCGTGCCTTCGTTCAGCTCCGTGACGTTGCACACGCCCACGAACTCCACGCCATCCCACCGCTCGGATGCGCTGCCAATCGGCACAGAAGTCAACGCTTGGTGCCAGGCAAGCAGCTGAGATCAATATTTCAGCCAACAGTTTAACTTACGAAAATCGTTTGATTGTGTGCATTTATGACCATATCCACACATGTTCCATAATCTGTATGCATCATTTGTTCTTTCCATATGGCTGTATTTTCTATGGTAGTATCGTGCATGCCTGCATATAAATCTGCAGACGGACAAATTGGAACGCGAAATCCACTGGCAAATCAAGAAATGAGAAGAAGCATGTGCTGCAGGGGTGCCCCAGGACGCCGCCCACGTGCTCAAAGGCCTGTTGACTCTGAACGTCTCTTCGGAGTGGCAGTCTCTGGCTTCAAGAAGTGCACACGAAGAAAGATGATCACATATCAAGGCAGATAAACTGACAAGAAATGAAATGGACGGGCAGTAGAAATGAACAAAAGCAATCAAGTTTGAGTGGTAGACAACTGTACAATATATTGCATGAGCAAGCAGCGAAGAGCATTGAGTGAACAACTACAGAGCAATGCGCACACACGAGTGCAGAGTAGTTGTGCGGTGTATGTGCCACAGGCGACAGCCCGTTGATTGATAGGCAGAAAGCTGTTTCCATCTGTTGCACGTGGAAATGCAATGACCCATAGCCAGAAGCCAATGCAAAATATGCGAGGACAGGTTACAAACACGCACAACAGCATTCCGCCCACTTCTGCAGTAAAGCGTTGGTGGAGCCTGTTCAACTCTGTACATGAGATGAAGAAGCGAACTCGGGTGCTTCCCACCTGTTGAACTCCTCGATGAGGGGCGTCTCCTTCCCGCACGCTGAGTACACTCGCGCATTCGCGGTCACGTCCTGAATTCCGAAGGTGGCGTTTTCGTAGGAGTATTTCAGGCGGCCAATGTCGTTGCAAGCCTCCGTGATGGCCTGTATCCTCCGGCTGGGTCCACAAGGCGCAAAAAGTGCGCAAGCACAACTTTTAGCAGTAGGTACTATTACGTAGTATTAGCACGCACTTGATGTCAGAATATGCAGCAAATCGGACAGTGAGTCGGCGTCGACGACGTCGTGCAAAACGACCAGCTCAAAAGCAGACATCATCGCTGCTTTCAGCACGCGAAGGGAGTTGCCAGATGCTGAATGCGCCTATTTTCGCGCATCTGATCGCATTTACATCTAATTACATTTGCGCTACTTTAACTACACTCACTAAGTGACGCCGCAGTTAGTTGCATATGGCAATTGATTAACATCACACCTCCTAATGCCGTGTCTTCCTGTGACAAAAGGCACGGCAACCGATCCTTGCAGAAGCAGCCGGCGACGGCTGCGACAGCACTCAAGCGGGAATATTCTGTCAAACATGGCCGCGGTTCCACACAGCATACCCCAGCACAGCCGCGAAATGCGGTGTCCATACAACTTCAACGAGCGCTGTGCGCAAGTGCTGGATTGGTAAGGGAATCCGCGACATTGCGAAGCTAAAACGGCTGACAGTGCTAGCCACAGCACGCCACACTCTGATCTCCAGTCAGGTGACTGGAAAAGTGCCCTTTTCCGATTCAAAACTGGAAGGATTTGGAGAATGGCATGAAATACAATACTTCATAGTATAGGCTGCTACCACCATTTGCTAATTGTCACTGAACATTGTCAACGTCATTGGCGTCACTGTCAGTGACAACGACATCAACGCCATTGCCTCATTTCGCGACACCAAGCCGAACTCACCCTGCAAAGCTCGCGTCAATTAAGCATGGGTCGGCCACGAATGAGGCCCACCAGAACCGCCAGTCTGTGTTACGTACAGCTCCCCAGATCGCCTCATAGGTCGACCAGACGACAATGACGATCACAACCCACAAGGGCTTGTTGATGCTCAGCGAAGTCCCCAGATATTTAGACTTGAAGCTCGGCCTTCGCGAACAGCGGCAGTAAAGCATCAAGATGATGCCCAATTGAACGGCTACAGACCCATGTTGGGTTGATCTCGTGACTGTCAGTGCAGTAGTACTAATACAAGAACAAGACGCCGCAATACTGTACTCACAACCACTGTTTGTTTCAAAGAATGTAGCATTTTACTAAGCATTCATGTACTTTTCATGAGTCCAAAGGGTCTTTCCAGGCTATATCGATTTATTCGCATTCGTTCCACAGACTGAAGCAACTGACGCAGCAACCATGTGCATCTCCTTGTTACACAGGTTCAAAATTGGAGCAATGCACAGTACAAGAGTTGCGAAATGAATCAAACCTTTGAACCTTGGCATTCATCGCTCAACCAGTGGCATATTTTCTCCACACATTTGCACAGCACCCTTATGGTAAAGTGGGAGGAAGACCAAAGTACCGTGTACATGGTGTTGTCTCCATTCTACAGCAGATTGCCACACGTATGCATCCCATTTGCAAATTTGAACTTCATTCATCCAAATTCTGATTTTGTCATGTTCCATGGCATGTTTCCTACCCCCACATGAGTAACAACATTCTCAACAATATGCTCTGGGGATTCGGAAACTGCTCCCAAATTTTTGGAAGTGAGCATTGCAAGCACTTCCTGGACGAAAGCTTACCTGTACACAAAGAGGGGCGCTGCGATGATGAGGCCAACGATGATGTACACAATGTAGAACTGAGAGGCTACGTCAACTTGCCACAGCAGTCGCTTGATGATTTGCTGCCCTTCCTCGCGAACCAGCACCTGGTACTCTTCTGTGCTTATGTTGGGGTTTATAGCCCTTCGCGACTGTGGAAAGCACACAAGTCCGTTCAACTCAAACACCACTTCACGGCTTCAGGTCGTACAAAACTAAAAGCTCGACACACTTCTCGTTGGAGTTCGTCTGTTGTTATTGCACAAGGCCAAGTGAATTAGACCAAAACCAACCACAGTTGGACTTCTATTGCTTGGCCAGAGTGGCCAAGGCTGGCGTGCACGTTCTGGGGCCATGCCTGCAACCTGTGCCTGGTTTAGATTCCTGGTTCCATAATCTGCAAATGGGCATCAACTTGACAAATTCTCTGGAACACAACAATCTGCAAATACTGCCGTCCATCGCAATTCGCAGCTTCTGGAGTTCGCCAATGGGTAAAAGCAACTTTGAAACTGCTTACAGAAACACACGTGACTGTTGTGGTTATCTGATGATGTTCTGATTTGGGCTGGATGCAAATTCAGGGTCCTGGTGCCAACACAACATCACAGCCAATGAGCAATTCACCCACACAAAGGCAACAGCAGTGTAGGTGCCAAACCCCTGGCCATGCAACCCATGCGTAACAAGATGCACAACAAATAAATGCTTTGACTTGCATCATCTCTTCCAAATGGAACTGTCTGCTGAATGGTAAAAGAATGAAGGTGTTGAATGGACAGGGCTGAAAAGCTGGGACCATTCAATGCACAGCTGAGGCACGCCAGAGTCAGCTTGCTGTACTGAAGGAATTATTATCTTACCAATATTTGTGTTTGTACCTCTCCCAAACCCATAATTTCACCCAAAAAACTGTTTTCCAAGCAGGACCATGGGTGCGAAATGGAGTCATCTGTGTCCTTGTGCATGCACTGGGGCTTAGTGTTACAAATATGCGGCTCAAAATTCAAGCTTTGCGCAGTGGTTAATTCCATGGTCAGGTTACCATAATTGCGTGCTTCCCCCCCCCACACCCCCACACCCTCTTTTCCCTTGTCTTGTCCTCCCAGGTGGACGTGCAAAAACTCAATTCAGCGCCTTGTGGTGACCACCGAACAGAACTGTGGAGAATGAGGTATTGCCAACTGGAAGCAGCTTCACCACTGATGTGCACTTCGGTCCAAGCAAGTCAATTTGCACCAAGCGCCAATAGGATTCCAAGTGTGCTATGCACACACAGCATGTACATGTACACACAGCATGTACATGTAAACACAGGTGCTCATATGCACAGTACTTTGGCAATGCCAGTCTTGGACATCCTTGTCCCTGTGCTTTGTCCGTGTGTTACCTGAAACACCTCATACTCTTGCCAGGCATCGCTAAGCTTCAGGGCTTCTGCTGTGCTGCACGGCACATCAACCGTTACGCAGTTCAGCCCACCAAACAGGCTGAAACCCCACTTGCATTTCTTCTCACGGCATTCTCGATTCTTTGCCTCGTCGATAGTGTTCAGGAAATCCTGCTGCGTACAGCCGTCCGGCCAGTCCTCGTACTGTATTTCTGCTATCACTGAAATGCGCAGCAAGTCGTTCTCTGAATCTTCTACCTGCAAGAGACAGGCAGACATGCAACAATCAAAAGGCAGTGTTGAGAACACCCTTTCCAGGGAAATCATTCTACCATTGGTGGTACTTAGTGGTTAGCCAGTAAAATTTTATACCTCCTTTCCCCCCAAAAGGTTGGTTACCAAGGCATGAGCAATAGGTACAGCATAGCAGTTCAGCAGTAGAGCTGAAGAACAGCAATCTGTGCGAGCACAATGTGAGTAAAGCACAGTTCTGGTAAACAATGGCGCAAGGTTCGGTGCATTGTGGTTCTTGTCATTCCTCATTTTCATGACCTGTGTTAGGTGACCATTCACACATGTCTCAGTGCTTGTGCAGGTACCAATAAGACTCAGAGCATGGGCGCAACTGCCTATGCAATTGCAACTATACATCCAAAAGAGGCAAGTGTGCCTTCACGATGAAGCGCATCACACTGCTTCGACAACAAACGAGCCCCGCACCTGCCTCTCCGCTTCGTCCAAATTCGAAAGCTCCCTGATTGTCTGTTGTATCTCCTCCAGCTTCTCAGCACGCCCAGTGCACAAGCTCCCAGCTGATGCCCAGGTGAAGCCGAGCCACCTGGGAATGCACACCCACTTGAACTCACACAATGCTGCCAGCGCTGTGCTGTAGAACTGGAACCCAAAACAACACGGAGAACTGTAGTCTTTGGACTCAAAAATCCCAAGCAGTGCGAAGTTCACCGTTTGCTGAGTTTTCCTTACTGAACTCAGCTACAATTGTGGATCTGGTGAAAACGCCTTCCAAGGCAGCAATGCGTGACTTCCACTGTTGGGAATTGCCCAAGCACGAACAAAAACTTGTGCAAGACAGGCATGTTCGTGTGCCAACGAAACAGCAGCCCAACCTACTTGGGCAAGAGTGTGGGGGTCAACAGCACAGCCGTGGCGATGAGTGAGAAGATGAGGATCCATTTGTAGTGGCGCCGGAAGGGTATCTCTTGAACTTTGCCCTTCATGAGGGTTGTGCGGTAGCCCACCAACACCAAGACACGCTCTTTCAGGCTGTACTTGATCTTTGGGCGGGATAGGTAGGTCGCCTGGAAAGTC